TGCCGTCTCCTCCGATGATGATCTTACATAGCATCAAACTGAAGTGAATGTGAAACAGGGATGTAATTCTTCCTGAGACAAACCCAGCTGGAGCGAGAATTCCAGATCTGCACAAGCATGAGCTTACCTGACTCTGGGAGACACAAACGCCAGCCAGAGGGAGGCAGTGACTGTAGGGCCGGAGGAGAAGGGGCAGGCAGGGGAAGGACGTGCCTCAGAGACCTTACACGGCTGTCGAGGCCTAAGCTAGTCATCATCCGCCCTTCACAGTCACGTGCATTCTAGCTTGTAGCTGTGTCTTCCCACCTGTCGTGATCATTTGAGGTGACTGAGGTAAAGTGAAAATTAAAGGTAGTGTCCCATGGTGGTCCTGTGCTGGCCCGGTGTGCTCAAACAAAAGGATGGCCACACCCCAACTTGCAGCGTGTTGCAGACCTCACAGCCAAGCGGGCAAACGGCCTGCACAACACAGCTCGGCAGGACACACACACCTGAGGCACCGCGGAAGAGAAGGAGCATTCTCTGCCCACAGAAAATAGGCCTTGTTGGGGAAGGGTGACTGACAGCCTGGGGAGTGTGGGATGGGAATGTGTCTGGGGGCAGTGACATGGATGGGGATCAGATGGTCCTCAGCCACATCCACTAACACCCTGACAGGCTGAAGCACAAACATCGGGACGCAGGGCGTGGTGAGAGTGGGTTGTCAGGCTCTGCCCTGGTGTGTGAGTTTAAAAGTACTACTGAACTCCAGGGCTTCCCTGGTGGCGCAGTGCTTGAGAGTCCGCCTGCCGATGCAGGAGACGCGGGTTCGTGCCCCGTTTCGGGAGGATCCCGCATGCCGCGGAGCGGCTGGGCCCGTGAGCCATGGCCGCTGAGCCTGCGCGTCCGGAGCCTGTGCTCCGCAAATGGGAGAGGCCACAACAGTGAGAGGCCCGCATAACGCAAGAAAAAAAAAAAAAAAAAAAGTACTACTGAACTCCAAAACAATGTTACCTTGAAACTAATGCTATGTTATGTGTCAATTACACCTCAACAGAAAAAATACTACCTTCAACTCTTTCTAATTATTGTAAACACTAACTTAAAAACATAAAAAAGGAAACTTGCCCTTAATGGTGGTCTTGAGGCTTCCTAGCAGTGTTGGAATTAGTGACTTTCTTTTGTATATAATATGATTCCAACAACAAAGCCTACCTTTCCCTTCCCCTGTGTCACTACCGCCACACCGCAAGCCCAGCACTGGAGCCTGAGCTGCTGTTGTAAACGCTGTGGTGGAGCGGGTACCTCCAGCTTTTGTCAGTCTCATCATCCTTAGCGAGTTTACACATCAAACTCCCTTTCCAGCAGGACAGATGGCAGAAAGCTGTACAAACGTAATTCTAACAGAAGAACGTGGGGCAGAGACTCTCTGGGGCTGAGGGGACCTCCGACGGACCTGGACTGGCCGAGAGACCACAGTGGACGAACGAGGCGAGGCCCCAACAGAGGAGGAGAGGGCCCCATGGGAGGCAGCCCTGGGGAGGACCCGCACACACTGCCAGCCTTCCGCAAAACAGCTTTCTCTAGAGACAGTCTCAGGTAGTTTACCATTCTTTTCAGTTGTGCACAGGTGAGAACACTTAAGAAGAAACAAACCTGCTGCCCCACGTCAACCCTCGTGAAGCTGAAGGTGCTGAGGTGGGTGTGTGCTCCCCGCACGGCCGGCTCTATGGTTTCTCGAAATAACTTCTCTATAAATTGGCAAATGAAAGGCCACATGTGTTTTACAGTCTGAAAAGGAGAAAGAGCTCAGGTTAAACAAGATGGTATAGTACTTAAGTCATCATGGAAAATTATGCTCCTATAGTTTACCAGAATTTTTGAAAAGCAAAGGGGGGTGGGCGTCCTTTTTGCTACGCACCTAAAATTTTTAAATGTATTACAACAGTAAACTATTGATTAACCAACCAATATGTTGCAGGAATTAGTTATTCTAGTTAAATATGCTGTTTAATCATATCAGCACATTTAATCATTGCTAAAAAGTCAGAAAATCCTGTGGTTTCAACTCACTGCTAAAAAACTTTCTAAAACTGTATCATTCTCAACATTAATGAGTTTTCTTTAAGGACGGACTAACTTCTAGTGATTACTTTTTGGGTAATCATTATTCACATTAGTTTTTACTATATAACTCTAAGGATATATAAAACATAGAGATAAAAGAGATCTACTTCAAAGTATAATGATCTAAAAACATAACCTTTAAAAAAAAGATGATTATCTACCACTAGATTTCTTGGGAGTTATTTCCCTCTTCACAATAATGTTCCAAAATTTTCGCTTATGACTATCATAAAAGAGATCTGAGCAGTAGCTTATCAGGAAAGAAGACACAGGGCCAAACATCCAACTATGAATATATCATTAACTTCCTCATGTCAAAGAAAGAGTCTGCACTGTTTACAAAAGGAAAGTAATGTCTCAGTTATGATCGAGTTCTTTTGAGAGCAGAAGCCAACCCGCAAAGTCCAAATGCGTTCACATATTGTCAGCGTCCAAATCCCCAAATATGGAAATATGGCATGTCATCCTCTAATTCCCACTGATATCTGGTGTTCAGTATTCTTCTCTTACCTTATTTAGCCATTCTGCTCTTTCAGTGTCTGGAAAATGAACCTAAGAGAAAAACATACACACGACTTACAATCTCCTGACAACTCTAAGTAAAACGCCACACAGGCCATTTAGTACTCTTCCTGTATATCTACTGTTTGTAAAATGCTGTTTAAGCCTGCCACTGGGAAGCCCTACACAGAACCACGTGGCCCTGGCTCTCCATGCTCTAAGGACACTCAGAAGCCCTTGCCCACCTTGCCACTGGGCCGAGGGGCTCCCGGAGCGTGCAGTCTCAAGCTCCTCCTTCGCCACCAGCCATGGCCCCTGCCTGCAGCACCTAGGCTCAGAGCCTCAGAAGCCCACCTTTCCCTCCCCTTCTGGCCCAAAGGAGCCAGCACAAATCTTCCATGTTCGGCTCCTCTCCACACCGTCTCCCAGATGAGGATTAGAATTCTAATGGTTCTCCATGATGAGGCCTGTATACTGGAGAAAATAAGCACAGAGGTAGGAAAAAACCTACTTGGTGTTAAAACAACCCCTGCAGAAAAAGGCTAAAGCTGTTTTGGGCAGGGAGTTCTCCTCTGAGAAATGCTCCGTACTCCCCCAACCCTCGAAGAAAGAAGAACACGTTGGCCACACTAACATCCTGAAAACTGCAGTTCTGGCACAGCTGCACGATGCATCTCAGGCAGGTTTGTACCAGTGACTGGGACATGGTCTGGAACTGCCACACCTACCTTCCTAAGTAACACAGATACTGTAGCCAGTAAAAGACAAGCCCCACCCCATCCTCTGGCTGAGAGGAGCAGGTCAGGGAATATTACTGTGGGGTGGGGTGTCCCCAAGAAGATGCCTCTTTGAGGACCAACTCCACTCTCAGGCTTGGCCTCTAAGCACAAACCATGGAATGGGGCCAGAAGCAGCCAGGTCCAGGTTGGAGAAGCCACCGTCATCATGTCTGTTTTGGTCACACAGCTTCACGGAGAGGCCACCGTCATCATGTCTTTTGTGGTCACACAGCTTCACGGAGAGGCCACAGCAGGTTCCACCTGCCCCACGTCCACGTGCCTGAGCAGACCTACTCCTTTACACTGCAGGATGTGAAGCTTTTAATTTGCTTGGACTCGAGGGTGGGCTAGCATGACAAATAAGTTTTTCTAAATTAAGTTAGTTTGAATCCATCCTGGGACAAAACCAAATGGATAGCAACCTTCCAGAATGAAGAAAAGGCTCAAGAGTTGGGAAAGATGACGCTCAAGAAGCAAAGACTCAGGAAAGGACTGCTGGCGAAGTTTGCTCAGATCTGGAGGCTCTGTCACTGCAGAGGTTCGACCGGAAGGGAACTGGACTGCACTTTCCCCCCAGAAGGCAGGAGGCATTTGGGGCTGGGGGTGGGGAGAACTGGAGGGCTTACCAGACTAGCTGGGCTAGGCCACAAGGGGCTTAGATCGTGGCATGAGGTGGCTGATGAGGGTAAGCTCTCTTCAAGGCCTTTCAGCTGAAAGGTTCAGAGGAGCAGAAGGTGAGGGAAGGCAGATGCCGAGGGACGGCCGACGGGCAGATTGTAAATCTCCCCTGAACTAGGTTTCTGGAAGATCAATGAGGGCAACATGACTAAGCTACAAACTATACTTGTGTAAAATAATACAAGTAACTACCATTTACTGAGTATGAGTTGCTATTTATGCAACAGTTTCTGTGCTAAGCTAGTCACACACATAGTATCTGAGTTAATTCTTACAACAGATCTACAAATTTGAACTATTACTATCCCATATTTGCAGGGTAGCTACTAGTGACAGAATGGGGATGAAAACCAGATTGGTCTGCTCATGTTTTTGGCCACTTCGCTACTAAGGGATGTGCAAAGTGCGTGGAGCTCACCGAGCCCTCAGGAGGACACACTCGATCAGAGTAGAGCCTGAAACTCCGATTCCATGCCTTAAATGTACGAGGTCCTGAGTGCCAGCCAGAAGTAGAAAATTTTGTGTTTAATAGTGATTCGTCGAGTAACTCCAGAGGTTACACAAATTCTGAAACAGCCGATGGCAAAGTTCAGCAAACACAATAGCAGTTCACAATAAAACACTGTTACCAGACCCAGTGTTCCACCCAAGACTAAGAAGAGAGCGATTTAAGACTGGTTTCACTCAACGTTCAAACTCCTTCCTAGGAAAGAGCTAGTATCCATCAACACGAATTAATAATTAAGTAGTAATGACAAAATTCCATGTGCATCCAACCACCCTGTGACCCAGCAATTCCATTTCTGAGAATCTCTTCTAGAAAGATGATGCATGCACAGCACTGCCCGTGGCAGAAGCAGCCAGGACCGCGGGGTGGAACAGACGCTGCACCCACACTTGAAGTGCTGCGCAGCTACAGAAGTGGGGAGGGGCTCCACAGCAGTGATTTCCACAATTGTTTGAATACTTGTTGTGGAATAACTCACAGGATTTATTTTTAAGTGAAAGTACAAATGGAGAAAAGCAGGTACAACTGCTACCATTCATCCCGGGGGGGCGGGGTATCTTAAAAAATTTTTAATAAAAAAATGAACAAAAACTTAAAACACTGTTGCCCGGGGAAGAAGGGGACAGGGTAGAAGAAACAAGCACATGAGAAGAGCCCTAGGTTGAATCAAGCCCCCCAACCCTGCCCAGTGCCCAGTGCAGCCCCACTGGAGGGGACCCCGCTCTGCTCCTGTTTGGGAACACGCCCAGCCATCCTCACAGCCACCACCACGACCATGCAGACAGGCCTCGAGTTACACAACCATGGGCAGGGGCAGACCCTCACCTCCTGCCTCCAAGACCAACTCTTAAAATCCTTGGCACACTTAAGTGGTTCCTTTCTAATCTTCCCAGCATCAGAGAATTCCTATTGATACCAAACAAGTGATTTAATTTACCAACTGGGCCCGTATTAGTCCCTCTCTCTTCCAGTCAGTATGTCGTACCAAATTCATGTGTGCAAATACCATCAAATGAACTTCTACTTTCAATTAAAGCATTACAAGAAACTACTATGTTTGGTAATAGAAAACATTGCCAGACTTTCCAATTAATGAAAATTTATTAATAGAGGCCATATATTCTTAAAAATACTGTTATGTTTGTATGTGTGCATATAAACATATACTTTTATATAAGTTATACAAGTTTATAAATGTACAGAAAAAGTTTGCAAGAATTCAAGGAAGGGGGGCTTCCCTGGTGGCACAGTGGTTGAGAGTCCGCCTGCCGATGCAGGGGACACGGGTTCGTGCCCCGGTCCGGGAAGATCCCACATGCCGCAGAGTGGCTGGGCCCGTGAGCCATGGCCGCTGAGCCTGCGCATCTGGAGGCTGTGCTGCGCAACGGGAGAGGCCACAGCAGTGAGACGCCCGTGTATCGCAAAAAAAAAAAAAAAAAAAAAAAATACAAGGAGGGGAATGAGGCTTTTATATTTTCCTCTATTTCTATATGTTTGAATTACTTGTAAGAAGCATAAACTACTTTTCTAGTTATTTTTGTAATTTACAATTAAAACTAAGAATTTTCTAACACAGAAGTACTACTTTATACAATAAATGACTCTCAAATTATGTGACAATAGACTTTTCATAAACTACATTTTAATTATATTTGCGAGAATGATACTTAGAAACAAGACGCTCTTATAGGTAATCTACTCCAAATCTGATTTGAAAATTTTTTTTTCTGAATCATCAAGTTTTAAAGGTAAAGTACAACTATGTTGAAACAAACACTTTCATGACCAAAAACAATAATGACTCCTGTAAAAAATATTCCAAAATGAAATATTCGCCTTCCCTAACAGTATTTGATTTCTCTAAGTTCACCGGTATTTCTCAAGTTAGCTCTGCCAGTACACCAGCAATTCCTATTCATCCTGTCACACCTCAGGCAAGACACACACCAGTCCCACAAGTCACCTACATGTAATAGAGCTTCTCTACTCACCATCATGCACCAGGACAGAAATACAATTCGCCTGGTGTGAATTCTGATTCTGTTACTGCATTTTCGTCACTGTGCTTTAATCTACCACAAACGTATAGATTGTTCTTTTTTTTTTTTTTTTGCGGGCCTCTCACTGTTGTGGCCTCTCCCGTTGCAGAGCACAGGCTCCAGATGCGCAGGCTCAGAGGCCATGGCTCACGGGCCCAGCAGCTCCGCGGCATGTGGCATCTTCCCGGACCAGGGCACGAACCCGTGTCCCCTGCATCAGCAGGCGGACTCTCAACCACTGCCCCACCAGGGAAGCCCTAGATTGTTCTTTTTGAAAAACAGGCTGAAGAAGCCATTTTTCAAGTAGTTAGTTGGGTCTGGCTCTGTGCCCAAAGCCAGGGACATGACACGGAATTGGCCGTGGTCCTGTCCTTGGGAGGCTCATCCTGGCGGGTGGACGGGTGTGGAGAGGTATGACTGCCAGTCTAGGAAGAAAGAACAGTGCAGGCTGGGGAGGGTCTGATGCTGCCTCCAAGAGTCCACGAGAAACTCAGGAAGACTACGTGAGATGGGTTTGAAAGGGTTAGCTGGGGGTTGCCATGCAAAGAGAATACACTAAGCAGCAATAATGGTGCATGCAAGTTACTCTGGTTGGATTAAGAGAAGGGAGGAATGGTAGATCCTGAAGCTGAAAAATCAGGTCAAAACCAGCCTGAGGTGCCTTCTGTGCCACGCAAAGGAGTGTGGATTTTGTTCTGTTGGCAATGGGTCAACGCTGGAGTTTTCAGGAGGGAAATTATGTAAGATTAATATTTGAGGAAACGTATTCTAGAACTACCAGAGGAGAGGGCAGAGAAACCATCTGCACAAGTAGGCTACCAGTACAAGTGAACTGGCTCACATCACTAAAGTTTATGTGAGATGAATTCTAAAAGTCAAGCCATCTCTTAGTGGAGAATCCCAGGACACTCAATAATTCTGAGGTTTTTAATTTTTAAGGGATGGTTTCAAAGTGCCAAAGAAAAAGAATATATCAAAATTGAAAACAGTAAATCTGTTACCAAATTTTAATTCTGTTTACTAAGTCGAAAATCTGCTTCTCACTAA